GGTTACCCGGAGGAAACACAAAAAAACTGACTTGGGATGGAAGGAGGAGTCTATTTATTTAATGTGGTTGATGTGTTTCCTGTTGCAGGCAGGCGGAGCCTATATCTCGATGGCTGTCCTGGAAGATGACTGGGGAAACATGTTATCCGATATGTGTAATTCTGCACAGCCAGTCTCACGATTCAGACCGCCCCCCTCCCCCACCCCTTGTGCTCCTCCAGTGCCCGGGGGGTTCTTATTGTCACCACTGACACCAATGCTGGGGGTTATTGTCACCACCGACACCAATGCTGGGGGTTATTATTGTCACCCCCGACACCAATGCTGGGGGTTATTATTGTCACCCCCGACACCAATGCTGGGGGTTATTATTGTCACCCCCGACACCAATGCTGGGGGTTATTATTGTCACCCCCGACACCAATGCTGGGGGTTATTATTGTCACCCCCGACACCAATGCTGGGGGTTATTATTGTCACCCCCGACACCAATGCTGGGGGTTATTATTGTCACCCCCGACACCAATGCTGGGGGTTATTATTGTCACCCCCGACACCAATGCTGGGGGTTATTATTGTCACCCCCGACACCAATGCTGGGGGTTATTATTGTCACCCCCGACACCAATGCTGGGGGTTATTATTGTCACCCCCGACACCAATGCTGGGGGTTATTATTGTCACCCCCGACACCAATGCTGGGGGTTATTATTGTCACCCCCGACACCAATGCTGGGGGTTATTATTGTCACCCCCGACACCAATGCTGGGGGTTATTATTGTCACCCCCGACACCAATGCTGGGGGTTATTATTGTCACCCCCGACACCAATGCTGGGGGTTATTATTGTCACCCCCGACACCAATGCTGGGGGTTATTATTGTCACCCCCGACACCAATGCTGGGGGTTATTATTGTCACCCCCGACACCAATGCTGGGGGTTATTATTGTCACCCCCGACACCAATGCTGGGGGTTATTATTGTCACCCCCGACACCAATGCTGGGGGTTATTATTGTCACCCCCGACACCAATGCTGGGGGTT